CATTCTTTTACGATTCTCAATATCCCTTTCTTCATTAATCCGTTTATTTTTATCCCATATATTTAGCGACTTTGTTATTTTTCTTTTTTTTCTTTCATCTTCTTCTATATTAAATTTTCTCTCTTCGGTTTCTACACTTTTTCGCACTTCGTTTTTTTTTTGTATAACGTGTTCCCTTTTCTCTTCAATCTCTTTCATTTCTTTATTATCCATTAATTCTTTTTCACTTTCTATTTTTTTGATCTCTTTATGTCTTTCCATTTCTATTTCAAATTCTTCATCATCTTCATCTTCTAGATGCAATTCTACACATTCAAATCTTTTGTTGCTACAACTTTCTTCTCTTAATGTATTCTCGTGTATTATTTCTTCATCTCTTTCTATATCATGATATCGATTATTATCCGATAAATCAAAATGAAGATTCAATTCAGCTCGACATTCTTTGCAATTTCCTAAACGCATTAATTCATGTTCTTGACAACAACAATCACAATCTTCTTCATAATCAGCACAACATTCTTCTTTTATTAATATTATATAATCAGCAGCGAAAAATTCATTTAATTTTTCGTTTATTACAACTCGATTTTTCTGCGATCTACTTTTAGATTGACCAGGTTTTTTTAACAAGGACTTGAGAATTTTCGCAGGCTGTTCCGCCGGAAGTTTGCTTCCGTGCTCCTTCATTATTGTGGCTTCTTTCCTTCTGTTCTCTCTGTACCTATATATTTTTCTATGTGTACAGTACTCCTTTCTTCACCTGTTGTATGCACGTATAGGTTATAGCACTATACATATACAGTTTTTTTCCCTACTATAATTACCAAGTATTTCTTTATCAAATAAAATTCCAATTCTACTTGCAATATTTCACTGTGCTTATATACTCGTATTCTGTATATATATATATATACAGAATATTATATATATATATATGTACATACATAATATATATAATCGTATATATATCGTATATATATATATATATATATATATATATATATATATATAATCGATTATTTATACGATCGATTGGGTGATTCTGTTAAGTAATTGCATCATCGAGTAGCCACGCCATACTTTCCGATTTTCAGTTTTCGTTGATTTGTTAATTCAATAATACGTTAACATTGATAAATAAGTAATTGTATGGTAATGAATCATATTGTAAAAAAAGAAAATAATAATAATAATCATAAATTAAAAATTAAAAATATACAAGATATATAAAACCATGGTGTTTCAAAACCTGATAATTAAAATATTCATACTTATAAGAAGTAGATATCAATTAGTCTTTTTTCAACATTATAAACAATAAAAACAAAAAAAGTGAGATGAAATTATTTCCATTTAAATCGATATATTATTTTCTAGTTATTTTCTAGTTGTTATTGCTATTCAATATCATATATATTAGAAATTATTAATTTTATGTTAATTATAAAATTAACAAGAAATACAATACTGATTAATAAATGAATAAAAAATCGAATGATTAGAATATTTAATATCTCATACCGTATTTACACCATAACAGTACAATTTAAAGCTTTCTCCATGAATTTTAAAACCTTAATGTTTTCCATAGATCTATTTTATTTCTTCATAACAAAGATTATTTAAAACATTATCACCGATCACTGTCACAAACACATCGTATTGATACTTATCGGCAATAGAATGGTCATTAACCGTATTGCTGCGACCACTGTTGCTGTTTTCGTCACAATTATCGTTAATATTGCGTCGTCGCTTTCGTCATTGGCATCGTTTTCTTTCCTGAACACTCAGTATTTCGTTCGTTGTGCGCAAGCGAACGCTCGTTTCAGGTATAACTCTACCGTTTATCGATCTTGGACGGCGAACGTAGGCGCACTTCTAATTGACACAACGCACTGCCATGATTATCGTTGTAACTTGTAACTTTCACTATAAATATACGTACATATATGCATATTTATATATTCAGCTACGTTATATGAATGAAGTATTATATCCGAAAAATATAATATCAATATAATATCAATTAATATCAATATATTTTATTTATGAAATAAGATTTAAAAAAAAAATATAACGAGATGAAATAATATTATTATTAATTTAGCAATATAAATGAATGTTTATACACTTAACTATCTATTAAAATTGATTAGGATCCTAATTTACAACATATCAGGAGGAATATTATCACGATGCAATAATCCGAGTATGCACTATAGGTTTTCTCATTCGAAATGAACAGTAAGGCTATCATCGGAGCGTTTCAACCTCGAGAGGACACTACTTTACAATCTTGCATCAAATAGATCATTAATGCGCAACATGATCGCGCATTGCGTCATTTGTTTCAATTTATCCCGCGTAACAATCAACAGGAACGATATTAATAAAAGACCAGTTATAACAGAGAATAACAAGAATTATTCAAGATTAAAATTATAAACAATATAAATTATTACATACATAATTATTACATACATAATTATTACTTACATAATTATTACATAATTAAACAAAATTTTAATTTGAAATTTTGATAGTATAATTATTTTAATTGAAAAATATTTATATAGATTTGAGAATATAACATCATTATTATTATATTCTTGCTTTCTTATTTCTGAATTAAATAGAACTTTTATTTTATATCGTAATTGATTTATCGACTATCATTTAATTTAACTTAACTACTTTACATAATAATAGAGCATTTTTTACATACTTCTAAAATGATTAATTTTAATAAATTAAAAACAATAAATTATTTAAAAAATTAATAAATTTAATAAAATTGAATTGAATTAAAAACTTATTAGTGTAATAAAAATATTAAATATTTTATAAAATTAATATTAAATTATAATATTGTAGATATTATAATGTAATATATTAATTTTATATATGTATATAATACATATTATATATGTATACATGTATACATTATATGTATATATGTGTATACATTATATCATAACATTATATTATAAATGATAAAATTAATTTTATTTAATAATTTATTAATAAAATATTTATAATAATTTTTAATAAATTAATAATAGATTAATAAATTACTAATAAAATATTAAAAATTAATTAACATTTAAATATACATACTATATTATAGACTAAATACAGGAGTAAACCAATCAGCTTGAATTTTTGAGAACTAAATTTGACTGTTATATTGATTCTTAATTGCTCATGAATGATAGCTACATAATGAAATAGTTATTAAATTATTAATAAGAATCAAATGAATTAATATATATTTATGTGCTCGGTAAATAGTCACTATTTGATGCAGAAAAACGATTTTAAAATAAATAGTTAAAGATAATTTTTTAAATAAATAAATATTTGTAAAGATTTTTTTAATATATCTTAGTATTTTTTTTCAATATAAGTTACCTGTTTTTGCTGTAGTAGCCATCATAAACTGTAATCAAATTAAGTAGAATAAACAACAAAGTAGATATCTATGAAATGTGTCATTTACAATCCAAAAATCTGATCGTTCGTATAAAGTACTTAACGATGTGCCAGACAATATCAAGGATCCTATATAAAGAGCAAACCATAGCGAATACTTTCTCCTTTTTCTCCAATCATAAATAATAGAATTTTGAAAATGCATCAAAAAAAAAAAAGTAAAATTAAGCCTAATTTAGAAAGAGACATTAGTTATAAACAAAGTATCTCTAATAAATACTAAACTTTTATAAACATTTTTATCATTTTATTTTTGCTCAACTACTTTCTTTATTTTATATTTTTATAAAGTAAAAATTAAAATTAAAATTTGCATTCGTTTTCAAAAAATTAAAAATATTTAACTTATCAAATGCCATCCTTATATAAAGTTAAATTTAAGATAGATTTAATACTTTTCACTCATGCAAAAATTATTGATATTTTAATGATTTTTTATTATATAATTTATTATATAAATAATAATAATAATTTTTATCTTTAAAGGGATATCAAATACAAAGAGGAATAAAAAAAAATAATAAATATTATTACTTTAGATACTTTATATTTATACTTTATATATATAAATTTTATATTCGGACTCTTCTTTATCTTTAAATTTGATGATCGGTGTCATCTAGAATTTATTCATTATTTATTATATAATAATTAATTATATAAATATTAATTAATTAATAATTATTATTATTTAAAAAATTCAAGGAATTTCACTAATCTCTCTTTTTTCATTGTTATCTCATATATAGTCTTAGATTGTTTCATAAATTTCTATTACTTTAAAATGTTTGTATGTTATCCATTTATATGGTATTTATAATTTCTGCTAAGAATCCCATTACAAGTTAGTTCTGTGTTCTATTGATAACAATGCGAAATGATAATGAAAAATCCTAATTATTTGACTCAAAAAATACATCAAATGATTAATTTATTCTTATATCTAATCTATGATATGACATGCATGCATTTTTTTGTCTTACAATTTGGAATTTTTAAAAACTTCTTTATCATTTTAGCATTTTCAATGAAATTTACAAAATAATGATTAAGCATAAAATAAAATTATAATATTTGTAATGATTAGAATTAAAACTACATTTTAATATAAATTATGAATAAAATATAAATATAATAAAATAAATTTTTGTAAATTTAAATAACGTGCACAATTTCATATTAAAATGTATATATTCTTATAAACAGTTATCTAAAATAATGATTTTGCATAGAAAATATGTTTTTATGTTTTTTATATTTATTTTGATTTTAATATATTACGATTGTAAAAATAAGTTTTTATTTTTGAAAATATTAATCCAATGTATGTGATTTTTTTTATTACACAAAAGAATTTAAGAATTCTATATAATTAGATATAATGAAAAAAATTATTTTTATTAACAAAAAATTATAAGTATTTTTTTTCGTAATTTTTATATAAATAATATATATATAATAGAGTCTGCACTCTTTGTTATCATAGTGTTCGCATTATTAATTTCAAAAAACATAAAATGTTCATATAAACATGTTGAGAATATGTACAAATTGTATAAGTTGGAAATTTTTTATAACAATTATAATTAATTTTTTGTAACAAACATTTTTAAAGTATCTTTATACATAAAATCTAAAATTTTATTTTATTCATATGACAACTTATTGATTACATCATTAATTTTTTCTTCAGAAATTTTTGATTTTAACAAATTAATTGTATGGTCAATAACAGTTTTTTCATTTATTTTTAAAATTTTTATAATTTCATTTGTTGATGAAATTTTTGATACTTCAATCCAATATCCTTCAAGATATTTCAATAATTCTGCCATTGTTTCTTTGGAATCTTCCTCTTCTTCTTTCATTGCTGAAAAAATTCATATAATTATAAATTTTTTTTATAGAAAATAAATTTATTTATTCAATAATATAATTCACCTGTATGAATGCTAACTATAATATTTAAAATCGTTGCATCTATATCAATAGTAGAATCTGCTCTTAAAAATCCTTTCCATCGAAAATCAAGAATCATTTCTGCACATCTATGAATACAAGAAGCTTTGATTTCATCTAAAGGATAAAGATTCCATGGATCAGTAAAACTTATTAAAATTCTTCGTAGAATTTCTACTATTCTAATTAAGTTATCTTCTTGTAAAATTTCTTGATGAATTTGATGACCTTTCCGAAGAATTGAAAACAGCTCTAACCAATCTTCAAGATATTTCAAAGTTGAAACTGAATAAAAAGTTTCATCCTGAGGAAAAACTTCTTCAAAAGATTCTAACATTCCTGTAAATTTTAATTTTCTTGTTTTTAAAAATTAATAAATTATAATAAATTTTCTGCTTTATAAAAATAAATTAATTTTTTGCAATGTTATGTTCAGTATGATTGTATATAGATCTTATTTTAGTTATTTAGTTATTTAGTTCAATATCTATTTTGTTTAGATGATTTATATTTAGATTATATATTTAGAATACATATCGTTTAGATTGTAACATCATTATTATTTTCATATTCTATCGTAAGTTATTTCATATTTATTAATATTTATTTATATTAAATAATTACAGATTACAAAGAGTTAGAATTTTTCACAAAAATATAGAAAAATTTAGCACCTGACAAAAAACTAGAAGACTCAAATAATTCATCCAATAATGTTCTTCCAGATGGAAAATCAATTTCTGCTGAAGAACGTAGAAAATTTGTGGTTGCAATCAAAAGTTCTTCTGTAAAAATTAGTTATAGATAGANATATATAATATATAATATATAATATATAATATATAATATATATATTATATATATAAACAATATAATATATATGTAACAATAATATATATAAACAATATATATTAAAAACAATTTATTTGAATTATTTCTTTAATATCATAGTATCTATTAATTATTAAGTTTAAAATATATGAAATGAATATATTTTTATTCAGAATTTAAAATTAAGAAAATCGAGATAACCTTAAAATCCTTTAAATATTTTCATCACAAAAAAGTACATAACTTATATTACATTATATAATATTCATAATACCCATTAAAATTCCATGTTTTAGAGTTTTCATCAATCTATCAATATCATTTAATTATTCAAGATAATCAAGTTAGAGACATTCTATAGATATAATAATATAGAAATTCATTATCTTTTTTTATATAGAATAAATTATAATGTATTTTTTAAAAATTTTTTTTTATAAAGATTCATAGAAGAAACGATATAACGATATAACATAAAACAATATATATTCAATTATTTTTTGATATCTTTATGTTTACGTTTTACTTTTATCTTATGTTATACTTCATACGGTACTTAAATAAAAGCTATAAGTTGGCTAAACATGTTGATTTCTTTCTTAAAGTACAAATTAAATACAAATAAATTATAATAAAAAAGTAATAGTAAAAAATCAAGTTTTTTTAAAAAAAATTAAAAATTATAAAAAAAGCTTAATAATTGTGTTTAAAGGATATTTTAAGATAATAAATAATAGATAAATAAGAATAATCAAAGTTTTATATTTAATTTGTGATAAACTCAAACATGAATTATAAGTACAAACATCTGAAAAAAATTTTTATTTATTTATTTATAAATAAAGATATATAAAAAAATTTTATAGTTTGTATACTTTAACAATCTTTTAAAAAGAAATTTTAGTTTGTTTCAATTTATAGACCTTGTTCATATAAGTACGGAAGAGAGAATCTGAAAAAATTGGTTTTATTTGCTACTTTTTGTCATTGAAATTCAAACATTTTTTTAATAACTTAATATTTAGGAAAAGATTTAAAGAATAATGCATGTATATCAATTTTAATGAAACTTTGCAAAAATGCACATTAAATTTAAGAATTTAGCTCATACCTCATTTATTCCAAGTATTCTTATCTCTTTTTTTATTATGCTTTCTTATTTCTTAATTCAAATGGCTCTTTTTATGTTTCTATAATTTTTTAGTAGTTTTATTTAATATTATTTTCTTTCTCACTTTGCTCAATATCATTAATATTCATTTTTGTTATTAGAATTGTTCATAATGAATTTTCATAGTCACTATTTTCTTCATATATCAATTAGTTCTCTTCTTTATTTTTGATCTCTAATATAATCTAATTATAATTAAATCTTAAATCATTAATTTCATTTTCCATATTATACAATAATTTGCATTCATTATTTTTTTTGTTGACTTTTTGTTATCTTACTATTACAATTAATTTTTCCATTTTCTAATAAAAAATTTAATATATTCAATATATGTTTTTTATTGTATAAAGATTTCTTTAGTCATTTTCAATTTAAATTTTTTTTTTTTGATATTTTTTTTTTCCAACAAATAAACTATGCATCCAAATTTTTTCAGATAGTTAATTTTCTATTATTTCAAATTTTATGAGAAGTTTTCCCATATGAATTTATTTTATATCTTATATTGTATCATGATTATATCTTATATTGATTATGCATCATGGTATAGCATCTTAATAAAAAAATTCAATAATATTTTGAATCACATTATTTTTATTATCTCAATAATTGGTTTGTTTATTTTTTTCATATTATTACATGAAAATATTATTAGAAGATATGTGTTTTATTTTTTCTCCCTCTAATCATGCTTTAAATTTCTTTTTATAAACTTGCTTTCATTATACAATTATATATATTACTTTCAATTTTTATATTGTTTGGTTTCTTTTTAAGATAAACAAATTTTTTAGTTCTTTTGCAGCATGTCTTTTTTCTTGCAACAATTTCACAAATAATATGTTTGATTATCTTAATTGGTTAACATATATTTTTTTTCATTATGACTGGATTGGATCATCTAATTTATATATCACAATTTCATTATATTCTTTATTTTTCTTTGGTTCAATTTAATAAATTTTTTTGCATAGTTTTCTTTTTATATATTTCTTTCTATATATTAAAAAAAATTTTTTCATTCATTTCTATGAAAAAACCTTTTTTAATTTCTTCTATAACTTTTCATCATTCTATGATGTTGCAAGTCTGTTTGTTCATAATAAATGATCTTACATAATATTCATTTTTATGCAAATAATAGTCATTTATATCTCAAGAGTTCAGTTTTCTCTTGAAATAGCAAGAACAAAAGTTTCTTTCTTTATTTTTATCTTTAACACTTTTTGATAATATTTGAAATAACTCATTCATATCTTTTTATCTTATTTAATTTTAACATTTTCTATTTTTTTTTTTCATACATTAAATTATGATTTGATTCTTATTGCCAATAAAAAAAAAGTGACATAATATTATTTTAAATTAGAGTACTTTAAATTAGAGAAAAATGATTAATTATTTTGATTAGATCTTTTTAAAAATTCTTTCTAGGAACAAATTCTTGAATTCTGCACTTAATTATATTTTCTAGTAAATAATCTTTAAATTCATTAAATTTTGCAATATAATCATTGTTTTTGATTAATAATAAATTTATTATTAATCATTTATTATTTATTATTTATTTAATTCAGATGTATATAATATATTTTTTAGTTATAAGTTATTTTTATTGATTATTTTATGACTGATTACTAATTCCTTTGGAAATTAATTCTCAAATTCTTTCTTTTTTATTTATTTATTAAAGTAATTTTTGTTTTTTAATTATCTTATCATATATCTTTTATATAACTTATGAATCTAGAATCTATATAATATATAATAGCCATAATAGATCAATTTTTTTGTTATTTACATTAATTTTTTTTTTTTATTAATTCCATATTCTCAAATGTTTGTTCATTTATTCTCATTAAAGCTTTATCATTTGTTTTCATTGTGATATCATTTTATTTTTAGTTTTTAATTTTTTTTCTCTTCTTCAAAAATTTTATTAAGTATTTACTTATATCCCACATAATGATATTCTTCTGATTTTTTTAATTTCTTAGAAATTGTTGCAACATAATCAAAATTGTAATAATTATAATATCTTTTTTTATCATAGCACTTATCCATTGTATATTCTCTTTTTCGAATTAAAATTAAAACAATTAAAATTATTTTTTGGTCTTTTTTTTTTTATATTCTAATGATTTTTTTTCTTTTTTATTTTTCAAACTTCTTTTTTTTGAAGTAAATCTTATATCATTCATCTTGATCTTTGAATTTCTAATATTCTTTCAATTTCAATCTTAGAATATATATTTTTAATTCATAATTTTCAATGTTTTTATATAATTGTATATATTTTTTATTTTTTAAAATATTTTATTTTTTATTTTATTTTATTTTATTATTTAAACATATTTATATTTTCATATTTTTTCATATTTGTTTTTTTGATAGTGATTTTATTTTTTTTGTATTGCTATTATATATTTTTTTTAATTAAAGATCATAATTTAATTGAATTTCTTTCATTACATTTATGCTTTGTTTATAATGTTAATAATTATCATTTATTACATAATCTATTTGTTCTATTCTTTTTTAATTTTTAATTTAAAATTAAAAAATTTTAAATTAATTTTTTTCTTTCATATTTACTTTCATTTTTTTCTAATTATTAAAAATAAACTCTAAATTTTATTTTTTTCTTTTAAAATTTTTGAATCTTAAGATATCTTCAATTCCTTAACATGATCATATGAATTATTTTTTGCAGAGCGAAAATTTATTTGATGTTCGATTCTTTATATTTTTATTGCATGCAATTTTTATCAATTTATCCTTTTTTTTAATCATATTCTATTACTATATTGTGAATGCAAATAATAACAATAAAGCACATTTAATTGTTCAATACATTTAACATTTATTATTTTAATATATAAGATTTATTCTAAAAATATATAATCTTATATCAAACACACTTTTTTCTTTTTATACATTGACTAGTTTTTATCTATATTGGAAATCAATAACGGATATGCCATCAGAAAAATCCCTAGACTTATCCCCATGCTATCTAATTCTCTATAATGTTTATTAAAAATTTATAGTATAAATTGTTATAAATGTGTAAAAATGAATGAAATAATGACAACAAATTTTTTATCAATCCTGGTTTATAATATTATGTAATACCGTAAATATACAACTGGTAGTTAGCAAATTTGCACACTTTTTATTTTCGAAAAGTATATAATTTCCATTCTTAATTATTTGATTCTCTCCAAAAGCAGACTACGTATACACATATATGTGCTTAGTACAATGCAAAAGTAGAATATATATATTCGCATATATATAATCTGATGATGGGAATGATATCCAGAGAAGAAATTTTTTAGAAATATAATAGGAATCATTCTTTTATAGTTCTTCCGAAAAGATGAGGGATAGAAAGATATTTGATTCCCAAGGCACCAATTATATAATTCTGATATATACTATTATATATTATACTATATAGTACTATACTATATATATTATATATATCATATAATATACAATATAGTAACATATAGTTATACATTAATAACATATAGTATTACATTATTAATAATTTAAATAAAATAACTCGAATATTTTATTTGAATAATATGATGAATTATATAAAATTAACTAATTATATAAAGTAACTAGATATATGTTAAGAAAAAAATTGTTCAAAATAAAACTCTTTCAATATAGAACATATGAGAATTATTTAGAAACATATTCTCATCGATTTCAATAATCCTGATATATATTTTTAAGATCATTATTTTAAACTTTTTTCTTTGTCACTATTCTGTTTCAGTTTTCGAGATATATAATTTAAAGTATATCTTATTCCATTATATATATATATATATATTTGAATATTCATATTTTTTTATATGGCTTATCAATGTTTTATTAATGAATTTAAAAAACACACGTGAGTAAGAATATTAAAGTCAATAAATAAATTAGATTTATTTATAATAAAATGATATGAATTTTTAAATATATAACAAATAATGAATATAAGTTGATAGTTTAATAGTTTTTAATCGAATGAAAAATTATTCATAATGAATTATATAAATTAATAAATCAATAAAATTTATTAGCAATAAATTAATTACC